GCTAAAGTATGTATTAATGTCTTTTTATCTATCTATCAATCTATTCTCTTTCATTTTATCTCAACTCGCACGACTTCTCGGTCATCGTTCAATTTCCTTATTCCTTCTTTCGTTAACGCGAGAATGGCTACGATCTCGTTAGTAACTGGATCCTTTTTTCCTCCTACGGCTCGAGTAATTCCACGACATTTTTTTGCTTTTTCTATCTCATCCTCTTTCCCTCTTTTCTTTTTTTCTTTCTCTTTCTTTCTCTTACTTTTCCTTTTTTTCTTTTTCTCCTTTAGCCACCCTTATTTCGTTCCACGCTTCGAAATTGCTAGCTTCTCACGTTACCGCAATTAATCCGCCTGCAGGTAGATGCGAGACGATCGATCGATCTTTCCTCCAAGAGGAAGGCGTTAGTTCGTTCTCTTAAAGTAAAGTAAAGTATCACGGAAGCTCGTGAACGAAATAATATCACTGTGAGAAAATTCATTTTATCGTTGTACACTAATAAGTATTGAATCTCAAATCGAGTATAAGGGTACAATAAAATTCGTTTCGTCGTCCTGAAATAAAAAAAAGGAAAAAACAGAAATAATACAAAGATAAAACCAAATAAACAATCGATTTTTCCTTGATCAGTTAAAATTTCAATTATCTTTTCCGTGATTAGTGTTCTTAATGTACCATTTCTCTTCTAAGCAGCGATTTAGAACAATGCTCGAAAGAAAATAGTATAGACATTGTTCTTTTAATTCATTGCAATAATAGAAAGAATATGATGGAACGAAATATTACATTGTTTGTAATTTTTATTTTATTTCTATTTTACTTTTTGGTTCAGGAAATGGGGAAATGGTTATAGAAAAAATAAAAAATAGAAAGAGAGAGATTTAAGTATCTTTCGAGATTTTTCTAGAAAAGTTAGCACGAGAATTTTCTTTAGGGGATATTCAAGTCATGTTCCGACGATGAAACGCGTAGGAGGGCGAGAGGTAAAGGCTGCAAGTAGGGATAAAGACGATCAAGCAAGAACCCTTATGGTAGCTTATACGTGTAATAACGATTAACGTCGATGGTGCACCTGTCGCTCTAGCGTTTTACGTCTAAGGTCACGTTCGTTGTGTTCATGTTGTCGATCTTCCTTCTTAGATATCGCTCAAGCTTCCACGATGCACTTTCACCTAACCTACTGATATAGTGGGTGCATTTTTACAGGAGTAAAATGTACAACAAAACGAGGATGACTCTACGTGTAAAAGTAATTCAATTTTTTTTCTTTTAAAAAGCAATGATTTTTTACATATAATTTGTAATTTTATTCCATTTCATTCAATCT